TGAATATTTACAAAATCATATCGTCTTGATAATTGAATAAATGGAGTATTATCATAATGATATCCAGTAACCATTGCTTTAAAACAAGAACCAAGAATAGTTGTTTTAACTAATTCAATTGATTCTGGTGTAAAATCTTCTTGATCTAAATATTAAATATTTGTTTTTCTATTGTATACCTACTAGAGATGATATTCGATCAGATTTTTCAAAATTTAAGGCAAATCAAATCCATCTATGATATGCATTCTCGAGTAAATTTTATGAGAAGTCAATTTCTTTGAAAAATACTTGAAGTAATTACACGATTGTAGGTATTTTATTTGTTCGACCTATACATGAAAGAACTTTCGTTTTCGATTTCATACGGTATTTTTTTAAATACAAAAATTTATCATTTTAAATTCAATGTAATACTCTCTACAAAGACTAAACAGTCATGGTGACAACTAGGACTCCACGTGAGATGAAATGGAACAAAAAAAACCATTCCATAGGATGAGATATCCTAAAATTTTCTGAACACATTATTTTCATTAATAATAGGTGGACTGAGAGTTTTCAATCGATTAAGAAAAGAAGCAGAAATTTTCAAACTTTGAATTAACATCAGAATTATGTGTTCTTTTCTGAATCTAAGTTCAAAATATTGGTGTGAATCATAGGTAACGAGTTATGAGTTAGTATTTGAAAGGTCTGAAAATAAAGTTTAAATGGATTTTAGTGCGGTACAACTGTCTAGGGTAGAATTAAAATTTTTTTCAAAACATCAAAAGGAAGAGTAAACATTTCTCTACAGAATAGTATCTTGGTCCTTAGTTTTCCGTAAGGTGTCTATCAACAACGAGAACTTTGGCAAGAGTTACAGTAACAATTTTGTAATTCCTTCATTCCCAGAGTTACAAAATGAACTCGGTCATTTGAGGAAAATTGCTGCACGAACCTCGATTCTTTGCATACTTTGTAGGACAGTGTTATCCTTAATGCTATGCAAAAAAGTGCTAATACAGCATATGCTATGGAAAACATCTTTCCTGAGCAGAACATCTGCTGTTTAAGATCTGATCCAAAAAAACTATCAAACTTGATGCAGTCAAACAAAAGGACGTGAGACTAAGTGAAATGGGCCTCTTTACGAAAGAAATACTAAAGTACCAAAGAATCACTGAAAACCATCATAGAAGTAATTTCAAACAGAATATCGTCGTATTCTTTATCTTTAGACCTGTTAGTGCAACCTTCTCGTCCCAAACTTCATTTTAAGACCTTGCAAAGATTAGCTCACAAGTCCTAACCTATGAGTTCTACAAAAATTCTGGATCTCAATTCGGAAAGAGCACAAAATTCTGATTCTAGTTGAACGTTTTGAAATTTTCGCTAGATCCTTTATTAGTCGATATATAAAGGCACATTTTGTCTTCAAACTTTTGTCCCTCTCACTACAACTAAATTTTACATCGTTTGATTTTGTATTTCATAATTTTATTATAACTAAATTAACATTTCAGCGAAAAAGACATGTAAAAAAAAACGTTGGTCCTATGGGATAGAATAATTTTGAAAATCTTGCATGGAATGGATTTGTCCCATCTCATACGGAGCCCTAGTGTCGATCTACCATTCATCATGCTACACTTTTCAGCGATGTGATAACTGGAGATTTGACGGTTTTGTCACCTCCTTATGACATTGTCTGCTTTCTTATGGTCCGGTACGAAGAATACTGAATCTGCATTTGCTAGTACACACCATATTGTATTATGTAAAAACGTATGCTCATCATTCATATAGCTCAGTATTAAGATTGTGGATATATACATAAAAATATGAAGCAGAACTGCTATCATATACAACATTCTTATATGAAAATAATAAGCATGATTTCTGTTAGTTTATGACGGTACTTGTTTAATCTAAATCCATGAAAATCTGCTTCGTAATACATTATTTTTCCTTAGGCCGAGTAATTTTTAAGTTGTACACTAAGTCTGTGATTCTGAATCATGAAACGTCCTTAGACAGCGTATTTTTGACTATGAATGCATTTCGATAAAGAAATCTAGATCTATACTGAGATTTGAAAGTATTAATATCAAAATTTATTTTATGATAATAGTCTTCTAATTATTTTATTTCAAAGATTCTACAAATCTTGAGATATTTGTTCTACTATTCTTAAAGAAAGAAAAATCAGTAAAAAATATATTCACTATTTACTGAAATGTTATACAAATACAAAAAGAATAAATTTCAGGTCATGCTATCCTACAATTATAATATTCATTGTCTCTAATTTATATCTCGAATTGTAGGTATAACATGAAGAATACTTACTATCAGCTGGAACAACATTATCGAGATAGACTTCAACTCCTTGAAATGGAATAATCATAAAATCTTGTCTAAACAATCATAAGTTCGAGTTCTTGTTTGACTTATTATCATAAAAGAAAAAAAAATAGCAAAAAAATTTACCTGAGAAGACGTAGAGAATTTGCATGTACATAAAGATAACCTCCATAATCAAGAAATTTAATCATAGCCATATCATCATTACTGTTATATACTGTGATTAATGCTCGAAACCAACCAGCTTGTGTTGGTGCTGCACATATAACACCGGCTAAAAATTTAAAAGAAATTTTTTTTTTCCAAAAAGAAAAAAAACGTTCTTTTACATTGAATAGGTCGAGGTAAAAGTGGTGTCATTTCCGTATGATGATAAAAAACTGACATTGAATTATCAAGACGTGCAAGTTCAGCATATGATGGATGTAAAATTTGTTGAACAAATATATGATTACATGAAACAACACTTGTAACAAGTACTTCTGTAGGTATTCCATCAGGTAAATAAAGCTAAATAAATAAAACAAAAATAGAGTCTATATTTTTCTTTTTGTTTATTTATATAATACTTGAGCAACAGATTGAGGAACCGGTACACGTTCAGGTGGACGTTGTCGTACAACAATTTTTTTATTAATAGGTTTAAAAGCAACTTGTGGATAACGATCAGGTGGAAAACGTTTAGCTATTAATTCAATTGCTTGTTCAACATCTACTCGACGACCTATTAGTTATCATTTTAATTTAAAAAAGAAAAAAAAAAAACTATAATATATTTCAAAATAAATTTGATCAAACCATGTAATGCTACAACTTGTTTTTCAAATGAAACAGCATCATCTCGTACAACTAAATCAACTTGAGTCATTTGTCTAATATAATCAACATGAACACCTTGACGACCAATAAGACGACCACATAAATCAACAGGAAAATGAAATTCATAGATAATAATCTCTTGTTCTTTTGCTTCCTATACATAGATAAAAAGAAAACAAAGTGTTTTGAAATCAGTCAGCTGTATTTACATTCTCATGCACCTTCTCAATCAATTTGAAAAGTTAAAGATTATATGCTTATCGACTCAATCAATCAAGATAAGATTAGACAATATATAGAACATCAATGAAATTTATCTATATATGTATATTCAAATAATTCGTTTCTTTGATAAACAAAATCTTTGAAAATTTTCATCATGATATTAAGTATCTAATGGATATTGTAGCCGCGAGCCATGACTTGTATATAATATTGATATTATTGTTCTGACCAATCATTGAACAAAAGAAATGACAAGCCCATTATTTCCTATTCAAATATATTGTTATCATATATATATCATTGTTTTATCTATTGAATTTGATTGATTGAAATCAATGATTTTATATGAAAATAATCTTAATTTTGTCTTTTGTTTTTTTTTTCTTGTTCAATGATACAATTTCAATGATTGATGAAAATGTTTCTCATTCGAATAATATCACATTAAAAACTAAGATAAATTCTTTAATTATTTCAACAATCATTAATTTATTGAAATATCAATTCAAAGAATTGACGAATGACTAACATAAGATCGAAATTTCGTATGTTCAATTAAGCTATTGTCGAAAAACTATCTTCTAGGTAGAATTCGTCGGAGATTGTCTGTTAAAACTTCAGTCTCGAAAAACTATCAAGAGTGCTGTCCTATTCATAGGCAAACATGTAAACATATGATTGTTTCTTTGAATTAACATAAAACAAAAATATGTAATGTATCGATTTCGATATGTTTTAGTTGCAAGAGAGAAAAAACGACAGATGGCAATAAAATTTTTAAATTTATCGTTAGTTAAACTTTGATTTTATCAAGTGTTCAGTTCAATTAGTGATGAAACACAATATTCTAATCAGATTGTTTTTTACCTTATCAGTAAGTGGTGTTAAAGGAGTTTCAGCTGTTGTTGAAATATCACTAGTATTGAATGAAAAATCATTATATTGCTGAATTTTATCATCATAATAAGGTTGTTGATAAGTTTCTGATTCCATTTTCTTATCTATTGTTAATTTTTCTTTTTTTGATGATGATATTGCTGACACAGATGGGGGCGGTTTAGTGATAACAGTTGGTTTTGAAATCGAATTTTGATTTTTCATCTACGAAAAAAAAAAAAGAAACGAAAAGAAAAAAGAAATCAATGTTTTTTTGCCTCCTCTTTTTCATTCAATGACTCATGATAAAAAAGAAAAGAAAATCTAACAATTTCGTAATTCTCTCAGCAACGTACTAAAATAAATTGCGATGTAAACAGAAAAATATCCATAGAGGATAATCGAACGAACGACGAATCATATTCTTTTTTATTATTGGTTTAAAAAATTTACCAATAAAAAAAAATATCATTTCAATAAATGCATTTATAAATTAGATTAAATATCATAAAGATATTTTTTTAGCCTCAATAAAACCATTGGTTGATTCCAATTGATTCAGCTCACTTATTTTTAATTGAACAAATAATATAATTCATGACAACTTGACGTCATCTGTATTTTCTTTTTAGATCGATATTCATTTCATTCCTTGTTTTTCTTTTTCTTTTTTTAAATATTTATAATTTGTATCTTTTTTGTAATTAAAAATCAATTGACATAAAAAAAAAATGACAACATCCAATTTACAAAAATTTGTCGGAACAAGTATGAAACGAAAAGAGATAGTTTTCTTTTGTTTGAATTAAAAAAAAAAGATACAAACAAAATAAATTCTTTTAGAATTAATAAATGAAATGTTACGATGTGACTCTGTTCGACAAAAAGAAAGAAATGATTGGAAAGTCTTAGTTATGGATCGTTTAGCAACAAGAATTATATCAGCATCATGTAAAATGCATGATATTATGTCAGAAGGAATAACAAGTATAATAGATATATGTTTAATTAATCAATTAATTAAAATAATATAATATTTACTTTTTAGTTGTTGAAGATATTATGAAAAGACGTGAACCATTAGGAATGCTTGAAGCTGTCTATTTTATTCAACCAAATGAAAAAGTATTAGTTGCTTTTGTTTTCTCTCCTTTTTTTTAATTTTTATTTGAATTAATTATTTCATTTAGTCAATTAATGAACTTATTAATGATTTTGATAAAAGTCATGCATTAGTACCCAAGTATAAAGCTGCTCATGTCTTTTTTACTGAAGGTAAAAATAAAAGTATAATGAAATTTGTTGAAAAAGTTTTCCTATGAGACAATAAATTTTAAATTTTATTTAGTATAATTATTAAAATAGAATGCTGCATACATAGATAGTTGAAAAAAAAAAGTTTATTAGACTTTTTTTTAGTTGATTTGTTAAAACGTTTCAGAATAAAAGAGTTTATAAAGACGTTCAGTATTGATTAAGTGTATGTTGTAGATACACATAAATACATGCTTAATCTATTGTTATCATGTCATTGTTACTTTTATTTCTATGTGATATAGAGCTATTTACGTAAAAGCAACCCTTGGAGACAAGTAGGAATTTTCTTTTTTTTTTTGCTAATGTTTTCATGTTGTATGAATCAATCGTAGACGTGATTTTCTTTATTTTGATTATTAATCATCGAAAAAATAGACAAAGCAAAGCTTTGAATATTTATAAATTAAATGAGTCATCATGCTGTATTTGACAAGAAATATTATTATTCATTTTTATTACATTATTGACACAAACATGTAAGAATGTAGAAAGGTTATGAAGCATGAAACCAAAACTGACAGAAAAATTTTGTTTTTATTATATAAAGAAAACCGAACAAATAAATTTAGTTTATATAAAAAGTATGCATGCATATAATCAATTACATTCTCACAAGATCAAAAAAAAAAGGTTGTCAATCCATATAATAATTTTAATAAAAAGAGAATATTCTAAGAATTAAATGAAAATTTGTTAATAATTTGAAGAGACATGGCATTTGTTGTATTTTTTTTTCTGGAAAAAAATATCACGATAATTAACATTGACAACAAGAGAATGAACCTCAAATATGTTCATTATATTGATAAGCATATTATTAATAGTAGTACTCATCTAATCATTGGTTCAATAGTTAACAACTGTAGATAGAAAATATTTGATCAGCTGTGAGATATACTCTTGAAAATAGAAAGCTAACAAAAAAAAACAACAACATCAATAAACTTGAATGAGTTTTTATTGAAATATTCGATATTAATGTTGTAAATGATTATGATCTCTTATTTAAGAGACGCAATAATTCTATGAAGTGTTTATGTAAAGAAATATTCACGAAGAAAAATATGAAAATTAGTTTTTGTTTTTGCAAATAGATATATTTGACTAATAGTTTTCTTTGCATATAAATAAGCTATTAATAATAAAAAAACTATTATTAAATTGAATAGAAAATTGGTCTTATTTTATCTCTTGAATTAAAAGAATTCAAACTTATTTTCCATGAAAAATATAATTGTCATTTTTAGTTATTATTCTTAAATTCTCTTATAAAAACCTCTTGAGAGTATTTTATTAAAACTTTACCTATCGATTTATTTCCCACGAGTAAATTTTTAATATGTTTCTAGCTTGTAATGCTGATTTATTTTCACGATTAACTCAATCAAAATGTGCAAAATATATTAAAACATTACGAGAGGTGAACATTGCATTTTTACCATATGAACGACAAGTAAAAAAAAAAAAAGTTCTGTTATTTTAATATAAATCTATTGAAATATTTTTCAAAGGTATTTACATTGGATTCACCTGATACATTTTATATTACATATAATCCAACACCACTTCCACAACGAAATGCACATCTTGATGTTATTGCTGAACAAATAGCTACTCTATGTGCAACACTTGGTGAATATCCAACAATACGATATAGAGTGTAAGATATTTTTTTTTTTTTATTGACTTTTTATTTTTTTTATTAATTTTTGAAGAGAGAATGAAAAAATGGCTGAATTTGCTCAGGCTGTTCAACAAAAATTAAATCAATATAAAGCTGATGATGCAACTATGGGCGAAGTAAATAATCAATAGTTTTATTTCACATATACAAATTTTGTTCTTTTTTTTTGTTTTCATAAATAGGGTACTGATAAAGCTAAATCTATTTTGCTTTTACTTGATCGTGGTTTTGATGCTGTTTCACCATTACTTCATGAATTAACATTCCAAGCAATGGCACATGATTTATTAAAAATCGAGAATGACGTTTTTGAGTATGATGTTTTTTCTTTTGCAATTAGTTTCAATTTAAAAAACAAAAAAAAATTTTTTTTTTTTTCTTTTTATTTAGATATGAAGTACAAACACCTGCTGCTGATCCTAAAATTAATCCAGCACAAAAACAAAAAGTTTTATTAGATGAAAATGATGAACTTTGGACTGAACTTCGTCATCAACATATTGCTGCTGTTACAAAGTCAGTTTTGTTTTTCTATTTTATGTCTCTGATGATTTGTTTATTTTTCTTTTTTAAGAAGTATCACAACGAAGATTAAAGATTTTGCTATACAAAAACGTGTTAAAGATACAGATCGTAGTGAACGTACGACAATGAAAGATCTTTCGTATGTGTTATTAATAATAATAAAATTATAAAATACATTCTTTTGACTTTTCTTTTCGTTTTTCTATTTGATATAGTTTAATGATTAAAAAAATGCCACAATATCAAAAAGAATTAAATGCATATGCACTTCATTTTAATATTGCTGAACAATGTATGAATACATATACCAAAGATTCAGGAGACAAATTATGTTCGGTTGAACAGGTAATTCAATTTTAAATAGAATTATCTATGAGATACTTTTAAACGAAAATTTCGATTATATTGATATTATAATAATTAAATAAGATATAACATGATCGTTTATACCAAAAGAAAAATGTTCAATATAAATAAATTGTTCTGGAATAGTAAAATAAAATCTAAACGAAGACATGAAAACATTCTTATAAGAGCAAATAAATTACTGAAAAAGATTTTTTTTTTCATAATAAAAATTACTTAAAATAATCTCTGTAGAAAAAATTCATTTTTTTTTGTTCTACTTTCTGATTGCTTTTCTTGTACGCCGAAAAGATATCTTTCGTCACAATCTGAATTCCGATAAAAACAAGTTCTATTTCATAAATCTATAATCTGAATAATTCTACATTCTTCATCTCAGTACTCAATATATTTTTACTAAAAAAACGAAAAAGAACACAATACTAATATCTTTTTTTTTAAACCCTGAACAATTTCACATTGTTAAAAAAAAGCAATCATTTCATGTAGTAAAAAGAGCTTTTTCTCTTCATTTAACATGTGTAAGAACAATAAATACTTTTTTCAGAATCCAAATAATTCTATACTATAATAATATTGAATAAAAGATTGGTACAAAAACTTTTATTGTTTTTTTTGTTTTCTAGAACTTAGCAATGGGTACTGATCCAGAAGGTGAACGAATCAAAGATCATATGCGCAATATTGTGCCATTATTACTTGATACTGCTATTGCTATTGAAGATAAATTACGTATTATAATGTTATATATTTTACATAAAAATGGTAATTTTAATTAAAACGAGAAAAGAAAATTTCAATCTATTCATTTTCAGCTTATTGTTGTACAACACCTGAGGCATACGGTATCGAAAAAAAAACGAAAATGATTTTGCTAATACTTGTTTTTATGCTGATTAAAAAAACATACATTGACTAATCGAGAATGAGATTGGAGTGATATAATATCAAATTATTCTAAAAAGAAAAATGAATTTCAAATTTCTTTTTTTTTTTTTCGTATATGTAGGTATTACAGAAGAAAATTTAAATAAATTATTAAGCCATGCATTCATTCCAACTGAAAAGAAAAATATTATAACAAATATGCAATATCTTGGATTACAAATTATTCAAGATCAAAGTCGAGTATGTAAATGATTTTTTGTTATTTTGTTTTGCCATTTTGTTTAATCTAACAAAATATTCAGCGTGAGAGTGGAGTCTCACCAGATCTAGGCAGAGCAACTGCTTTGCACGTGGCTTCGGAATTATTTATAAAATCGTCAGCGGTGATTTCTTGTTTTATATTATTTTTTATAAGCATGAGTGAATATCTTCCTTTTTTTTTTTTTACTATTTCAAAATAATCCTTTATATAATTTTTAATTTCGTTCTTCTTCAATGGATGGGCTTATATGTTTTCCTTTTCTTTTATTTATTATTTGTGTGTATGTCAACATCAGTTATGTCAAGAAAAGTTAAAAAGTAGATGAATACTTTGCATGATTATAAAAAATATTGTGATGGACTGTTGATTGAAAGGATAGATAATTATATTTGAATGTTAACATTTTAGGGCGGACGACGTAAAAACATTCCACAAGCAAGAAAAGAACGTACAGAACAAACATTTACAAATTCAAGATGGACACCTTATGTAAAAGATATTATGGAGGTAAAGATTTTCAAAAACCAAAAAAAAAAAAATTTCACTATTTATTTTTAATATTTTTATTTTTATTTTTTATTTGTAAGGATGTTATTGATGATAAACTTGATTCAAGACAATTTCCATCTATTGGTGGACAAAGAAATCTTGCAACTTCTTATGCTGTTCAAAGGTATTAATCCTATAAGAAGATTAATAATATGTAAACTAAAATCTGGTTAAAGATTGACAATATTATTATAGTTTTAATTATTTTTAAGTATTACATTTAATTAGAATAATGTATTTGATATAAAAACAGTTCGCGTGACGTACTACTACTAATCAATAAAGATTAAGCTTTGAAAATAATTACGTAGTAGAGATTTTACAAACATGAAATATATTGTTTACTTCTTTATCGAAAATCAGAGCAGTTATGCTCATCTTAAATATTCAGACAAAAAAAAAATTAATCAATTAGAACAAAATTCTTTTCAATCAAAAATTGATTTAATATATAAGAAAGAACATTTTTTTAGTTCTCGAGAATATGGTAGTTGGATGCAAACTCGTCGAGGTGCCGTTCGTTCAGGTCCACGTTTAATTGTATTTATACTTGGTGGTGTTGCTTATAATGAACTTCGTTGTGCCTATGAAGTAACACAAAGTAATTTGAAAAAATGGGAAGTATTTATCGGTATGTAATAGTAAAATTTCATTTTTTTGAGTTTTAAACAATGATTTAAATAAAAACAAAAAAAATTCTCCATTCTTTTTATATTTTTTCTAGGCGGTGATCAAATCATAACTCCAAAACAATTTCTTCGTAATCTCGAAATGAAATTAAGACAAGAAGATGAACAATAGATGATATGCTAATCATCAGATGTCCATATTTTTTTTCCAAAAAAAAAAACTAAATTCAATGACATGTAATTTTTATTTTTATTCATTATTGTTTTGTCGATCTATTATTATTAGAGAATCTCTATGTATATTTTTTTTTCTATCTCATTTAACATAACACTGAGCTTTTCGTTTTTGCTTATTTGTTTATTTTATGTGTAGCTTGCTCAACGCACATATTTTAAATGATTCTTATTTTCTTTTTATTCAATTTAACACAAAAACAAAAAAAACAAAAAAGAAAAATCTTTTGTGTGCAATGTTCCAAAATACTATCAATATTGTAGTAGAATGCGCGAATGTGTTAACAAACAGTATTTGTAAATCGAATCTCGAAAAACAAAAAGAAAAAAAAAATTTTTTTTTTTCATTTTTTCTTATTTTTATGGTTTAGTTATTTCCAAGAACATGTTTCTGTTTTATGTATTTGTATATCCTATGTGCCTTTATTTATTATGCATCTTGGTATTTCTCTTTTTTTTTGCTTCTGCACGACAAATATCTATCTATATAAATTTATGTTTTCTAGAAATAAAATATTAAAAACAAAAAAAAAACAAAAGACTAGGCTATTAGCTAAAAATATATGTTTTCAGATGTCTTATTTGTTATCAACACTTAGATTGATTAATAACAATGTTCTGTTATCATCGAAACGATTGTTTCATTTAACACAACCAGTTGGATTAAAGAAAAGTAATGCAGAAAGAAAATTTATAGAAGAATTTTGATCGTATATAAATTAAAGAAAATTAACATTCATAAAACTTTTATAGTGATTCAAATCGATCATGTTTACTAGGGAAGTCTTTTAAGTGATTAGTTTTTGTAGAATTGGAACTATATGTGTTCCATAGATTCTAATAAACTATGAAAATCGTGATAAGAGTTCAGATTCTTAACTTATTGATGCGGAAATATTAAATTTTTATGGTTTTTGTTTGAAGTTGATGTCGTAGTCCTATGTTATGAGAGAAGTCCTTCAACTTTTCTAATCCTTTTGTGTCGAGGATATATACGTTATGTAGATCCAAATGAGCTATGAATACTTTGAATAAAGTTCATGTCCTTAGCTTATTACTGTGGAGATACGGCATTTTTACGGTATTTTTAAATTGAATGTCATAGTACTCTTTAGAAATACGAGAAAAAAACTAATTTGTGAATGTCGATTTGAAACTTTGCACAGAGACAGACCTTAGTCAGAATAGTTTATTGTAAAACTTAAAGGTCTTTTGATTTGTTCCAATCTTGAAACAAAAAAACAGCAGCTCGTTTGAGCATTTTCATGTCCATTTAGAAAACAGTAAAACCCAGCCACTTTCATCATAAAACAAGCATATGAAGTCCCATAAAAAGGCAAATTTTGCATCTGCAAAACATCGGAAAAGTTTGACCATAATATTTTTTTGACATATGTCACTTATCAAAAAAATCATTTGTATCCTTAAAAAACATCAAAAACTTACAGAAAATAAATATTGCAGGTTTTCTAGATGCAAAACTTGTTATTTCTAAGCGTCAGACCATATCTTTTAGGATGAAAGCAGTTAATTTTGATGTCTTCTGAATGGATGCAAAAAAAAAAAGGCAAATGAAAACCACGATTAGAATGTTTTAACATGTTTTCAGAAGTTTATATCTATTTGAAATGTGTAAAAGATACGCTTTCATCATAGTCGTATCTTAAAGTATGAATAAATAAAAGATCTGAAACATTTACAATAAACTATTTTCGTTAAGATATTTTTGTGTGCAAACGAAATTCGAACATCACTTTTTCTAGCGTTCCAAAGGAGACCAAGGCATTTGACCTAAAAACTAAAAAAACTCAGTATTCCATGGAAATAAGCTACAAGCTCGAAATCTTTTGGGAGTGTTCACAGCTCATAAGAATATACATGATGTATGTTGTCTTCAATCAAACACTATTAATCAATTGGACAGTTTCTCTTGTTACATCACGTTCAATTGTGAATAAAATATTTAAAATAATGATGAATATGTTGTTAGATTTTTCGCTTACGTGAACCTTCAGCAGATGTCTCAATTTTTGCGGTAGTTTAGAATGTTCTACATATGTGGAGTACATTTTTATAAATTCAAAATCTACTTTTCATGTCTAACCACTACAGAAACTATGTCAATCCTAAAATGAGAAATTAGAATTTTACAAAGAGAAATAATCCATTTCTCACAATCGGAAACATCAAAAAAACGACAAATATCTCTAAATCAATTTATTATTTTCACTAGTGTGATTACTAGATAATATTTACTCATAAAATAATAAATTATAAATTTTTATTTTTATTTTTTTAAGTTACGGAAAAAGTTCAAGGCAATGTGATAACAGTATGTTCAAATAATTCTCTATATATTTAATTTATAATTTTTTTCATAGTACGAAGGTGAATATATTGATGACAATGAAAAAAATGTTTTAAAATTATCTGGACCAGAAGAAGTTTGTACTTGGTGTAAACTCGATCGACGATCAATTCATATTCAACATACAGTATGATAAAACATAAAAAAAAAAGCTCTTACGAATAAAATAAAATTTTGTATTTCATAAAAACAAAACAGGATGTTCTTGTACTTGGTCAATATCTTCGTAAAGATGGTACAATTCTTTCGCCTGAAATAACTGGTTTATGTCCTAAACAAAACGAAAAATTACATACATTAATACGACAAGCACGAATGACTGGTTTAATATCATATCCAACTGTAGCTGTAACTAAACGTGAACCATTACTTGTTGATCCAACATTAAGACCAGAATTCGAACAATATAATTCATATTGGGAAAAATATGAAGTATTAAAAAAGAAAGATCATTATCTAGGACAATGAATTGTTTGTTTTTTTTTCTTGTTCTTAAATAAAAGATAGTTATATTTGAACAAAAAAATTTTTTTTTTTTAGTTCTTTTTTTTTTATTGAATGAATTCATTGTTTTTAGTATATATAAATGTCGTCTACTTGGATTGATTTATCAAATTTAAAAAAACCATTAAGATTTAATGAATTTTCAGTGAATTTTAATACTGATTTATATAATGCGAAACCATTACCAAGTGATATACAGAAAAAACTAGATGAAAAATGGAATGAATTACTTAATGATGCTAAACAAGGACGCATTTTATATAATGAATCGAAATTTCGATTACATTCTATTGAAACGAGAACAAATGATAATAATAATTCAATTCAACTTATTCTTAACTTAGGTTTAACTGATTATAAATCATTTATTTGTACTCAACAACAAAGTTTACCTGATGACATTCGTCAACATATCAAAGAGGATCATTTATCACATCCTCTCGGTGTTGGTTGTCTTCTCATTACATCTGATGATTATATTGTCTTAATTAAACGAAGTTCTGCTTGTATTGATCTACCAAATATGTATGATATACCTGGTGGTCATGCTGAGCCAAGGTAGAAAAAAAACAACCGTATTCAGAATTTCCGAAATTACTATCACATAAGTAGATAATTTCCGAGAAACATCCGTCATAATTGATTCATAGGAAATAAATTCTAAGAAAATTATATAGGATACTTCGAGCATCAACCGGATATTATTAAAGTTTCTAAAAGTTTCATGATCGATGAACAAATTTCAGTTATCTTCTGAAAGGTCTTGATATATTTCAAAAGCATAGTGTATACATATCTTTTGCCATTGCATTCTAATAATACGAAGAGTCATGTTGATAATATATCATAGTTAGAAAAAATTACTAAAAAATTAGAGAAAGTTTGTAGAATTTCTTAACAGCAGTTTATTCCTGTGGATAAATTCTGAGATACAAAAGAAATCTCATTCCTTTTAATAAAGTCAATTTTGTAAGTTTCTATGTATTTTATGTCTTTTGACAATAATAGATGTTTATGGAAGAAAACTTCTCTTCCTTGATATACATAATTTGCTTAGAATAGCGAAGGTAAATCAGTAAAATAGAATTGCTTTTAAAATTAATTTTTTGTGTGAGAAGGATGTAAGTGATAAATTTGATAGACAAATGTACATGATATCTCAACCAGAGACCGAATCGAACCGGTTTTTTCTTGATCGAGTTCGGTTCGGCTCGTCTATGGAAAAATCAGCTCGTAAGCTGTTCAATTCGAATTAAAATAGCAATAGTTCCACCGTATCAAGAGTAGACTATACATCAGAATTTGTTTCTCAGATGATCAAAGGTGTCACATTAGAGTTGATATTTGCATGAACTAATACTGATTCATACATTTGTGGACTAAAATAATTTTTTTAAATTAATACATGAGAATCAACAATCTTTGAGTATTGATATTAATCGCACACTAGTATCCAGAGTTTTTCATCGCACTGTAGAAAAATGGTGAACTTTACGAAAAAAAGAATAAAGGAATTATGTTGCATAGAGGTGATATATTGTCATGCACACAATCAGTGTAACATTTCTGAAAAGGAAACAAAAGACTGCAATACACGGAAATAACATAATGCATGTCAAACAATAAAGAAAGTTCGTTTTATCTTCACTGACGGCATCATTTTTTTTCAAATTGTTCATAGTGTAATCAATCTAGTGATGGCTGTATGGAGTAAAAAGTGTTATATCTTCATTTTCATTTTTTTCGTAAGTACTAAGAGAACAAAAAAAAACAGTTGTAGTATAGACGAATTTAGATCTAACAGGCAGTAGCAGAACGAAAGAAAAATTTCATAATTTCGAATATTATCCGACAGGACAGAACAGAAAAGAATTGGCAACAGTTACGCAATTTTGTTTTTCTTTCTTTCGCTTGCAATGATGAAATACATTGTTTCGCTATATCTTAAGATGTTTCAACACATCAGTAAATGACTCATTTTTCATTTCAAGTTACATAACATTCGACTATTGCTCAGAAAATTGGCTTGAACTCGGTTCGGTTCGTTTTCAGTCTCTGATCTCAAC